AGATTCAGGCTCCATTCCACATCTGTCACAAAGCAGGTCAACCTCCATCTTTCTTTTCCCATTTCACTCGTCTTGCATAAAAAAAACCCACCTAAATCCACATCTAAAAGGGAGCCCTCGACCAAAATGCCTCCTCTATGTACATTTAGATATATGTACATTTAGATATATGTACATAGATCTATTTTTTGTACATAGAAACTCATTAACGAACAAAAAATTGGATTTACAAGTATAGTGAAAAAAGAATTAATTCATATTGGATTTGATAAATAGGAATGAAAATTTTCAAAAAAAATTGGATTTACAAGTATAGTGAAAAAAGAATTAATTCATATTGGATTTGATAAATAGGAATGAAAATTTTCAAAACCGATTTCAATTGAAGTCATCTTCATCATAACACGAAATTCATTTCATTGATACATGGACCCCTAATTCCAACATTGCTGAATCTTTGAAAATGGATTCTATCATGTCCCTCAACTCTATTCTTATTGATCTTCATCCTTTTTTACTCAATTTCCGGATTCATTCGCATTTTTTAATTTCCCAACTTAGTGTGAAATACAAATATACCCAATTTCATCTTCTTAACACTGAATGAAAGTGAAAGAAATAAGGTGTTAATGCCCCCCCTGTTCTAGCAAATCAATTCTTTCCACAAAGTATTCTATGTTTATTTTGGTTTCTTTCGCATTACTTCATTTTATTTTCTATTTTGTTGAATTATATAGATTGGTGATTGGAATGAACAATTTAGAAATCAAGAGGATGAATAAAAAAATTGTAAGGAATTCTGAAAGATGGGAAGATCCTTTTGATCGAATCATATCATTCCATTATATTGACAATTCCAAAAAATTGTTCATACTATGAACATAGTAGAATGGAAATCGGGTAAGGAGTCCCCCATCGTCTAGCGGTTTAGGATATCTCTCTTTCAAGGAGGCAACGGGGATTCGACTTCCCCTGGGGGTAGGGTACTACGAAAGGAAATGGATGAGGGATTATCAAGAAAGACTAAAATGAATTCTTCCTGGGTCGATGCCCGAGCGGTTAATGGGGACGGACTGTAAATTCGTTGGCAATATGTCTACGCTGGTTCAAATCCAGCTCGGCCCAAAAATATTTCTGGATCCACCATGAAATGATATAACCCATTTGATGTTCTCTAAAAATCACCAATGGGTTCACATACATAAGATTATAATCTTGAGTCATATGTCTTTTTTCCAGATTACTTACATATTTTTTTCCACAAATTCGGATTTTGCAAAACACCTATTGGGATCTGTAAGTATAAAGTCGAAGGAAAGGGTTCAAGTCAAAAAAGAAAAAAATAGTCTTCTTTGTTTCCTTGATTGATTGATTTTTTAATCAAGTTGGCAATAACGAACAGATTGCCAGTCATCTGTGTCGATAAAGCGCAGACCCATAAAAATATGAATATATATATATAGAAGTCCGCCTTTAAAAGAGGCATTCTCGAATATCAAATAGAAAAACAAAGAGTTAGAGTGAAATTGTAAGAATATGTGTGTATACTAGACGGCTTTTTCCCTGGGATTGTAGTTCAATTGGTCAGAGCACCACCCTGTCAAGGCGGAAGCTGCGGGTTCGAGTCCCGTCAGTCCTGATGGATACAAATCCAAAAAATATCAATTGATTTCGTGTATGATAAGGGAAAAAAATATCATTTCAAACAGGTATCCCCTTTTTCTTTCTTTTTTTAGTTTAAGGGAAAGGTTCGGACAAAGAAATAAAAAGGACTTTTTGATTGCATCAGCAAATCATTTTCTTATTTGGTTTGGTATGGATAAAACATCTTCCGATGTTATACTATGAAATTCTCGACCATGAATTATTGATTTGATAGCTAAGATATTGTTATTCGTGATATTGATCCGATTTGATATCATCGAGATCCAATTTATCCCATTGAATTTAGTGATGAAAGATTTTTCATTTCTATGGGATTAAATCCCGAAGTATTTATTAGAAATTAAAGAGAAATAAAACATAGAGATTATGTAAAAACGGTATGTCAAAGTGACTAAATTTCACTGAATCATGACTTATTATTTCTTATCAATGCAATGATTGAAGAAAAAAATTTAAAAAAAAAATTCTATTTCGGGTCTTTTGTTTTTTAAGAAAATGATCAGACTAAACTAGCAGAATTCTATAAAATCCTAGTATAGTAGAAAGAAATCAAATATATTTCTTTCTACTATATTATCTATTACAGTAGAACTAGAATGTTTTACTAAAAAAAAGAGGTTTAATATGGAGGAACCAATCTAGAATTTTGTTTTCATATGGATAGATGGATATCTATCTATAGATATGGAATGTCAATTCCATGGCGTCCACATTTTTCTTGATTTCATCTAAATCTATTCTATTTGTATTGGTTCCAATGAATCTGAAATAATTAAAAAGCAACGCAATTTTGATTCTTGTTATTTTCATTTTTTGATTTCAGATTCTTTTCAGAATCCCAGAAACTAATAAATAAAAATAAATAATCTTTTGAGTATTCCAAAATTCAAATTTATTTAATTGAATAGAAATATTAAAAAGAATTTAGTTTGGAATAGTAATCCGTTTCCCAATTATTTGTATTCCCGAGACATCAAAATGGCAACAATTAAATATATTTAGTTGATTCAAAGAGTTTTTTTTCAATATTATCTTATACATGGAATATAGTAAACCACTAGAATACAATAGGATTTCTAAATCCAGATAGAATTTTCATTAATTAGTATTAATAAAATAACTAAAATAGTTCAAAACTGGAAGAACCCAGCTAGAAAATAATTGAGACAGTTTGATCCCTTAACTCAATGAGTATTACCGTTAGAGTCCACTTCTTCCCCATACTACAAGGGAAAGGGAAAATGTAAAAACTACCATTAAAGCAGCCCAAGCAAGACTTACTATATCCATGTAAATTATGTCTCCTATCTATATCAATATGAAGAAATTCTTTTATTAACTCTTTTTTTATTGTTTGCTAATTTTTCTTGTATTCTTTTTGTTTTTATTTTTCACTAAAAATTTGATAATATCTTATAATAATAGTGGAATCGCTAGTGCAGAGTAAAAAAAAGTATTCCATTCCGTCATAACACCATTGATGAAACATCCAATTAGAACATCTAGCAAGTTCTTATCAGATTCGGAGTAGAATTCATAAATTTTCAGTATAAATAAAAATATCCTTAGAAGTAGTAAGGTAATGAATCATACTAATAGGTTGGAATACAAAGACCTATTCCCCCCCCCCCCCCCCCCCCCCCCCAATTTCATTTTATTTAAGTAAAAAATAAAGAATTAAGATAAATTCCTTTGCATACTCTTATTTGCATCTCTTAGTTCAATTTGATCTAATAATCCTTATTGTATCCCGATTCATTCTCTAAAACAATTGGAAAACAACCTATTAAATTCTTTTATTATCGATTACCCAAAAGAAAGAGTTTTCTTTTTCTTAGAATGGAAATGAAATCAAATGGAATGGAATTTTTTTTTGAATTGGATGAAATGAAAATGAAATTCATAGTAAAAAAAAATATGAATATCATTAAATTCAATAAATAAATAAAAAAGAAATAGAATTAGATATTCAATTTCATTAATCTAACAAATATGGAAAAAATGCAGAAGCGTTCATATATTTTACATACATTTGTATAGATGATTTTTCTTCAATCCATTCGCCAACTAAAAATGGAATTATATTCCCTGTCCTACCTATCCTTATCCAATCTAATTCCAGACCATATCAGTGGACGGACACTACAGTAGTAGTAGAGTGAAAAGACTTTCATTTCAAGATTGATCTATTCCTTTTCATTTCCCTACTCTAATTAATTTTTCCTTGAATCCGAGACACAATGATTTAAAGCATTTTAGAGAACAAATCTAGCGATGCATAGAATTTTGAATCAAACAAGTCTCAAGAACTATTTCCCTACACTTGCTTCCACATGGAAAAAATACTAAGTTTTTGTATCAACAAAATGGAATAAACCCTTTTTGATTCTCTTGTCGATCAGGCGACACCCGAATTTGAACTGGGGAAAAAGGATTTGCAGTCCCCCGCCTTACCACTCGGCCATGCCGCCAAAATGATACAAAAAAGTAAAAAAAAGTAAAAATTTTGAGACAAATAGCAAATATTAACTACAAATTTCGGAAGAATTCAGGAATCTGAATATCTTAATGAGAAAAAATCGAAATTGATAATATCCTTATCTATTTCCATTATAACAGGAACTGTTAATATATGTCAATCCCATAATATCACTTTTCATTGTTACACATTATATAATTAGGTAATTATGGATTACAGGGAATTTTCAATAAATTCTCGTGCTTTCATTTTTTTGCCAATTTTTCATGAAATATATTGATGAATGAATAAAAAAATGAACACAACATATTATTTCCCGAACAAATAAGACTGCAATAACGTAATAGAAATATATAGATAGATATAACTGAAGTTAAATCTATGCATGTTTCATAAATCCAAGTCTTTTTATGCACTGCAATCCTCTCATTCTAAAAAAAAAGGGTCAAAATATCTCTCTTCTTTGTTAATTTTCATTCTTTTTTGAACACTTGAAATGGCAAAGGGCTCAAAAAAATTGTATATTTTTTCTGATTATTTTCTTTTAAAAATCTTTCTCTCATGGAATCAATCAAATCCTGAATTGATTTTTGGGGTATCAATCGAATTGGAATATGTAATATCATACTCTACTAAAAGTCTATTTGTTTGTTTTGTTGCAAATTCTAATTTGAGTAGCAAAATTCCTCTTTTCATAATGCGTATTTCATATACGTAGTGAGGTAAAATTTCATGTGATTCAGTAAAGTAAAAAGAACACAAATTCCATTATTGCTAAATATATTCATGTGACTCGATGAAGAATGAAAACAAATCATGGGATATTTTCTATAAAATAAAAAAGGGGTAATAAAAAATGCTTGGGGTTGGGAATGAAGGAATGTCTACACTAACGGGATTGAATCAAATACAATTTGAAGGGTTTTGTAGATTCATTGATCGGGGCTTAACAGAAGAAATTTGAAGTTTCCAAAAATTGAAGATACATATCAAGAAATTAAATTTCAGTTATTTGCAGAAACATATCAATTGGTAGAACCCTCAATAAAAGAAAAATATGTTGTATATGAATCACTTACATATTCCTCTGAATTATATATATCTGCAGGAGTAATTTGGAAAAACAGTCGGGATATCCAAGAACTAATTTATTTTATTGGAAACATTCCTCTCATGAATTCCCTGGGAAATTTTATAGTCAATGGAATATACAGAATTGTAATCAATCAAATATTGCAAAGCCCAGGTATCTATTATCGGTCAGAATTGGACAATAACGGAATTTCAGTCTATACTGGCACAATAATATCAGATTGGGGAGGAAGATTAGAGTTAGAAATTGATAGAAAAGCAATGATATGGTCTCGTGTAAGTAGGAAACAAAAAATATCTATTCTAGTTCTATCATCAGCTATGGGTTCGAATTTAAGTGAAATTCTTGAGAACGTTTGTTACCCCTAAATTTTCTTGTCTTTCCTCAATGAAAAGGAGGAGAAAAAAATAAGGTCAAAAGAAAATGCTATTTTGGAGTTTTATCGACAATTTGCTTGTGTAGGCGGAGATCCCATATTTCCTGAATCTTTATGTACGGAATTACAACAAAAATTTTTTTCAACAAAGATGTGAATTAGGAGGAATTGGGCGGCGAAATATGAATCGAAGGCTGAATATTGATATACCCGAGAACAATACATTTTTGTTACTGCGAGATATATTGACAGCTGCGGATCATTTGATTGGAATGAAATTTGGAATGGGTACAGTTGACAATATGAATCATTTGAAAACTAAACATATTCGTTCTGTAGCAGATCTCTTACAAGATCAATTTGGATTGGCTCTCATTTGTTTAGAAAATCTAATTAGAGGAACTATATGTAGAGCAATTAGATATAAATTGATACCGACTCCTTTGAATTTAGTGACTTCAACGCCATTAACAACCACTTATGAATCTTTTTTTGGATTACATCCATTATCTCAAGTTTTATATCAAACCAATCCATTGACCCAAATAGTTCATGGAAGGAAATTGAGTTCTTTGGGTCCTGGAGGGTTGACGGGGCGAACTGCTAGTTTTCGGATACGGGATATCCATCCTAGTTGCTATGGATGCATTTCTCCAATTGACACCTCTGAAGGAATCAATGTCAGACTTATTGGATCCTTGGCAATTCATGCAAGGATTGGTTGTTGGGGGTGTATAGAAAGTCCATTTTATGAAATTTTTGAGAGATTAAAAAGAATACGAATGCTTTCTTTATCACCAAGTAGAGATGAATACTATATGGTAGCAACGAGAAATTTTTTAGCACTGAATCGAGGTATTCAGGAGGAGCAGATTGTTCCAGCTCGATACCGTTAAGAATTTCTTACTATTGCATGGGAACAGGTTCATCTTCGAAGTATTTTTCCCTTCTAATATTTTTCTATTGGATCTTCCCTCATTCCTTTTATCGAGCATAATGATGCGAATAGAGCTTTAATGAGTTCTAACATGCAACGTCAAGCAGTTCATCTTTCTCGGTCCGAAAAGTGCATTATTGGAACTGGATTGGAACGCCAAGTGGCCTTAGATTCGGGAGTTCCCGCTATAGCCGAACACGAGGGAAAGATCGTTTATAATGATACTGAGAAGATTATTTTATTTGGAAGTAGGAATGGTCTAAGTATTCCATTAATTATATATCAACGTTCCAACAAAAATACTTGCATGCATCAAAAATCCCAGGTTCATAAGGGTAAATGCGTAAAAAAGGGACAAATTTTAGCAGATGATGCTGCTACAGTTGGTGGTGAACTCGCTTTGGGAAAAAACGTATTAGTAGCTTATATGCCATGGGAAGGTTACAATTCTGAAGATGATGTACTCATTAGTGAGCATCTGGTCTATGAAGATATTTATACTTCTTTGACATACAGAAATATGAAATTCAGACGCATGTGACAAGCCATGGTCCTGAAAGAATCAATAATAAAATTCCATATTTAGAAGCGCATTTACTCTGAAATTTAGAAAAAAATGGAATTGTAATTCTGGGATCTTGGGTAGAAACGGGCGATATTTTAGTGGATAAATTAATGCCTCAAATGGCAAAAGAGTCCTCATATTCCCCGAAAGATAGATTATTACGAGCTATACTTGGGATTCAGGTATCCACCTCAAAGGAAACTTGTCTAAAAGTGCCTATAGATGGTAGGGGACGAGTTATTGATGTGAGATGGCTCCACAAAAAAGCGGATTCTAGCTATAATCCAGAAATAATTCATATATATATTTCACAGAAATGTGAAATCAAAGTAGGTGATAAAGTGGCCGGGAGACATGGAAATAAAGGCAACGTTTCAAAGATTTTGTCTAGACAGGATATGCCTTATTTGCAAGATGGAAGACCCGTTGATATGGTCTTCAATCCATTAGGGGTCCCTTCTCGAATGAATGTAGGACAGATATTAGAATGTTCGCTCGGATTAGCTGGGAGTATGCTAAATAGACATTATCGAATAGCACCTTTTGATGAGAGATATGAACAAGAGGCTTCCAGAAAACTTGTGTTTTCTAAATTATATGAGGCCAGTAAAGAAACATCAAATCCATGGATATTTGAACCCGAGTATCCGGGAAAGAGAAGAATATTTGATGGAAGAACGGGGAATCCTTTTGAACAGCTCGTTATAATAGGAAAGCCTTATATCTTGAAATTAATTCATCACATTGATGATAAAATACATGGACGTTCAAGTGGACCTTATGCAGTTGTTACACAACAACCCCTTAAAGAAAGGGCCAAACAAGGAGGACAACGGGTAGGAGAAATGGAAGTTTGGGCCCTCGAGGGATTCAATGTTCCTCATATTTTACAAGTGATGCTTACTTATAAATCTGATCATATTAAAGCTTGTCAAGAAGTACTTGGAACTACAATTAGTGGAGGAACAATACCGAAACCTGTGGATGCTCCAGAATCTTTTCGATTACTTGTTCGTGAACTACGATCTTTGGCTCTAAAACTGAATCATTTCCTTGTCTATGAGAAAGACTTTCATATTCAAATGAAGGAAGTTTAATTGGACTGAATCCGAAATTTTATTTTATGATTGATCAGTATAAACATCAACACCTTCAAATTGGATCAGTTTCCTATGAACAAATAAGTGCTTGGGCAAAAAAAATCCTACCTAATGGAGAAATAGTTGGGGAGGTAACAAAACCCTATACTCTTCATTATAAAACCAATAAGCCTGAAAAATATGGATTATTTTGTGAAAGAATTTTTGGGCCTATAAAAAGTGGGATTTGTGCTTGTGGAAATTATCAAGTAATCGAAGATAAAAAAGACCAACCTCAATTTTGTGAACAATGAGGAGTAGAATTTGTTGATTCTCGGGTACGTAGATATCAAATGGGGTATATCAAATTAGCATGTCCAGTAACCCATGTGTGGTATTTGAAACGTCTTCCTAGTTATATCGCGAGCCTTTTAGATAAACCTCTTAAAGAATTAGAGGGACTAGTATACTGCTATGTGTGATTTGATAAAAATTCTTATTGTATAAATTTCGAATGAAAAACTGTCATTCCATTCAATTAAATTGGAATGTCCTATATCTGGCATGTCTCTTGGGATGAGTAACATGAAGCTCATAATTCAATTCATGGGTGTATTGAATACTCCCAATAAGCGAGTTGGTCTATGGTCAATTCAGTAACAAAAAACTCTTTATATTGTATGTACCTTGTGGGAAAAAAATTACTTTTTTGTGGAATTCATTATTCCATCTTTTTTTTTATTTTATATTTTAAAAGAACTAAAATTATGTTCAAAGAATAAAATATATCATGATTGCAGAAGTTTATCTATCGCATAAAGGCTTTAAGACATCGTGGCATACCCGTCGAGGTGACGTCTTGTCCTAAAAGATCAAACGGTATGATACAGAGACAAAGAAATCTCTTATGAAGTCGAAGATATTCCTTTTTTATTAAGAATTTCATTTTATAGGATTCCTCGTTCGAAGGTAGGTAGACTACTCAAGAATTTTACATTTTATTTCTGTCGGAATTTCGAATTGCATAAAAAATTCAGAAAAAACGATGAATGTATCAATGAAATGTTGCTTGGTCTTTATTGATAACTTGAGTCATGAGTAAACCTTTTTTATTTTATATTTTAGATTAGAGGTTTTCAAAAATATGAAAGCGGAAACCCCTTTCTTTATCTTTAATTGTGTGTAAATACTTTAGTCGGATGAGAGGAAACCCTCATGTCCGATTTTCAAAGGGGGAGATCCATCTTATTTGATCCTATCCAAAATTTTCTTTTTCTAGGCCCGTAGTTAAAAAACCAACTTTCTTACGATTACGAGGTTCATTCGACTATGAAATCTAATCCTGGAAATACAATCTCCCGCTCTTTTTTGCTACTCAAGGTTTGGATACATTTTGAAATAGAGAAATTTCTAGTGGAGCGGGTGCTATACGAGAACAATTAGTTGATATGGATTTAAGAATGATTATGGATTCTTCGTTGCTAGAATGGACAGAATTAGAAGAAGAGGGGTCCACTGGCAATAAAAATGAATGGGAAGATCAAAAAGTTGGAAGAAGAAATAATTTGTTGGTTCGACGCATGGAATTAGATAAGCATTTTATTCGAACAAATATAGAACCAGAATGGATGGTATTATGTCTCTTACCAGTGCTTCCTCCTGAATTGAGACCAATTATTCAAATAGATGGCGGTAAACTATTGAGTTCGGATATTAATGAACTCTATAGAAGAGTTATCTATCAGAACAATACTCTTATTGATCTATTAATAACAAGTAGATCTACACCAGAGGAATTAGTAATGTGTCAAGAAAAATTGGGACAAGAAGCCATGGATACACTTCTTGATAATGGAATCCGCGGACAACCAATGAGGGACGGTAATAATAAAGTTTACAAATCGTTTTCCGATATAATTGAGGGCAAAGAGGGAAGATTTTCAGAGACTCTTCTTGGAAAACGAGTTGATTATTCGGGGCGTTCTGTTATTGTCGTAGGTCCATTACTTACATTACATCGATGTGGATTGCCCCGCGAAATAACAATAGAGCTATTTCAGACGTTTCGAATTCGTGGTTTAACTCAAAACCATTTTTCTTCGAACATAGGAATTTCTAAGAGGAAAATCCGGGAAAAAGAACCCATTGTATGGGAAATACTTCAAGAAGTTATGCGGGGGCATCCGGTATTGCTGAATAGAGCGCCTACTTTGTATAGATTGGGCATACAGGCATTTCAACCCATTTTAGTCGAATGACATGTTATTTGTTTACATCCATTGGTGTGTAAGGGATTCAATGCAGACTTTGATGGGGATCAAATGGTTGTTCATGTGCCTTTATCTTTGGAGGCTCAAGCAGAAGCTCGTTTACTTATGTTTTCTCATATGAATCTCTTGTCTCCGGCTATTGGGGATCCCATTTGTGTACCAACTCAAGATATACTTATTGGACTTTATGTATTAACTAGTGGAAATCATCGAGGTATTTGTGCACACAGGTATAATTTGTTTAATTCCCGAAATTCTCACAATGAAAAAATTAGCAATAATAACTTGAAGTATTTGAAAAAAAAGAACCCTTTTTTTGCAATTCCTATGATGCAATTGGAGCTTGTAGACAGAAAATAATAAATTTTGATAGTCCTTTTTGGCTCCGGTGGCGAATAGATCAATGCATTATGTCTTCAAGAGAAGTTCCTATCGAAGTTCACTATGAATCTTTTGGTACCTATTATGAGATTTATGGGGATTATTTAGTAATAAGAAGTATAAAAAAAGAAATTCGTTGTATATACATTCGAACCACTATTGGTCATATTTCTTTTTATCGAGAAATTGAAGAATATATACAAGGTTTTTCTCGAGCTGATTCATATGGTATCTAATCATATAAATGGTTAGTGTTGGTATCCACGCTAAGTCAATTTATGATACTTGTGTAAATTCAGGTCAACTCGCATCTTTTCAATTTTCTACGTGAATAAACAAAAAGAAAAGGAAGTTTTCCAATCATTAACTCAAATCCATTGTTGAACCGAATAACACTGAGTGGAATATGGAGGTACTTATGGAAGAACGGGCCGATCTAGTCTTTCACAATAACGTGATAGGTGGAACTTCCATTAAATGACTTATTAGCAAATTAATAGATCATTTCGGAATGGCATATACATCACACATCCTAGATCAAGTAAATACTCTAGGATTCCATCAAGCTACTGCTACATCTATTTCATTAGGAATTGATGATCTTTTAACAATACCTTTAAAAGGATGGCTGGTCCAAGATGCTGAACAACAAAGTTCCATTTTGGAAAAACATAATCATTATGGAAATGTCCATGCGGTAGAAAAAATACGCCAATCCATTGAAATATGGTATGCTACAAGCGAATATTTGCGACAACAAATGAATTCCAATTTTATGATGACTGACCCTCTTAATCCAGTCCATATCATGTCTTTTTCAGGAGCTAGAGGAAATGCATCTCAAGTGCACCAATTAGTCGAAATGAGAGGATTAATGTCAGATCCACAAGGACAAATGATTGATTTACCCATTCAAAGAAATTTACGTGAAGGAGTGTCTTTAACAGAATATATAATTTCTTGCTATGGAGCCAATAAAGGGGTTGTAGATACTGCTGTACGAACATCAGATGCTGGATATCTTACACGTCGACTTGTTGAAGTGGTTCAACACATTGTTGTACGATGAACAAATTGCGGTACCATCCGTGGGATTTTTGTAAACACCCAAAATGGAATGATGCTAGAAAGAATTTTTATATAAACATTAATTGGTCGTGTAGTAGCAGACGATATATATATATATATATATATATATATATATATATATATATATATATATATATATATATATATATATATATATATATATATATATATATAGGTTCACGGTGCATTTTCGTTAGAAATCAAGATATTGGAATTGGACTTATCAATCGATTCATAACTTTTCAAACACAACCAATATTTATTCGAACCCCCTTTACCTGTAGGAATATGTCTTGGATCTGCGGATTGTGTTATGGGTGGAGTCCTATTCATGGGGACCTGGTAGAATTGGGAGAAGCTGTAGGAATTATTGCTGGTCAATCTATTGGAGAATCGGGAACTCAACTAACATTAAGAACTTTTCATACTGGTGGAGTATTCACAAGGGGTACTGCTAAATATGTGCGAGCCCCCTCGAATGGAAAAATAAAATTTAATGAGGATTTAGTTCACCCTACACGGACACGTCATGGATATCCTTCTTTTATATGTAATATAGACTTGTATGTAACTATTGAAAGTGACGATATTATACATAACGTCATTATTCCACCAAAAAGTTTTCTATTAGTTCAAAATAATCAATATGTAAAATCATAACAAGTGATTGCGGAGATCCGCGCGGGAACATCTACTTTAAATTTGAAAGATAGGGTCAAAAACATATTTATTCTGACTCAGAAGGGGAAATGCATTGGAGTACCGATGTGTACCATACATCACAATTTATATATAGTAATGTACATATCTTACCAAAAACAAGTCATTTATGGATATTGTCAGGAAAGTCGTGCAGGTCTAATACAATCCATTTTTTACTTCGCAAGGATCAAGATCAAGGTACCATGGATTCACTTTCTAATGGAAAAAAAATATTTCGAATATTTTAGAAAGGAATGATCAAGTAAAACATAAATTCAATACTTTTGGTACAAAAGAAAAGTGGATTAGAGATTCTTCAATATTGAATCAAATCATATGTACAGATCATTTTGATTTAATGTATCCTGTTATTTTGAACGATACTTTTTATTTCTTGGCAAAAAGGCAAAGAAATATATTTCTTATTCCATTTCCATTCCAATCGATTCAAGAACGAAAGAACGAACTAATGTCCCCTTCCGGTGTCTCCATTGAAATACCTGTCAATGGTATTTTTCATGAAAATAGTATTTTTGCTTATTTCAATGATCCTCAATACATAAGACAGAGTTCAGGAATTACTAAATATAAAACTATAGGAATTCATTCTATTTTTCAAAGAAGTAAAGCCAAAATACCAAATTCAAGTAGATAAAAAAAATTTTATTCCCGAAGAAGTGCATATTTTACCTGAATCTTCTTCCCTAATGGTATGGAATAATAGTCTTGTTGGAATAGGAACACCAATCACTTTCAATATAAGAAGTCGAGTAGGCGGATTGGGCCGATTAGAAAAGAAAAAAAAATAGAATTAAAAATATTTTCTGGAAATATCCATTTTCCTAGAGAGATGGATAAGATATCCCGACACA